GTTAGGAAAGGTAGAGGGTAGATGAAAGAGGGGAAGACCACAAACCAAATGGATAGATAGTTTTTTGTGGATTTTTCAGGCTGTGTGGCCATGTTCTAGAAGAGTTTCCTTCTGACATTTCGCCAGCATCTGTGGCTGGCATCTTCAGAGAATCTTCTAAAGATGCCAGCCACAGATGCCATCATGGGGTTTTCTTGGCAGGTTTTGTTCAAAGGTTTGCCATTGCCTTTCTCTGAAGCTGAGAGTATGTGACTTGTCCAAGGTCACCCAATAGTTTTCATAGCTGAGCAGGGAATCCAACCCTGTTCTTCAGAGTTGTAGTGCAACACTCAAACCACTCCGCCATGCGGCATATAAACAAAGAGCGACACTTTTGTCCTGAGAAAAGTTTACACAAAAATGGGCATAAATGTGAATGGAAGATCACATGTAGACTTGGAGAAAGGAGGGTGTCTGCAGATAGACTTTTAAAGATGCACAGATACCACCTGCCTAATCTTAATAGCAAGTGAGGCTCATAAATCAATAAAAACAACTTGGTTTTCAGTAAAATAAAGGAAAATGGCTGTGTCTCCTTGGATACTTCTCTTTATGCTGTTTTCTGCTTGGCTGCTTGGCTGACTCATAACACAGGGAATCAATGCTAACAGCAAAAAAGAGGCAGCGAGGAGGCCAGACAAGTCGATCCAAAGAGAAGCAGAATAGACAGCTATCATTTAGGTCTTTCCCACACAGTTATCTGACTTTGATTAAGACACATTTCAGCCTTTGCATCTTCACTTCAGCAAGTGCATCAGTGTAGTGACAGTGTAGTGACAAGTTTTGTTCAAAGATTTGCCATTGCCTTTCCCTGAGGCTGAGAGCATGTGACTTGTCCAAGGTCACCCAATGCCAATGACACCCAACTCTATCTCGCCTCTCCATCTCATTCCAAGGACACTGTCTCAATACTGAACCAATGTCAATTGTCAGTTGTGAAGTAATGGACTAGATGGGGGCAAAGAAACTGATACTCAATCTGGACAAAACAGAAAAGGTTTTGGTCAGCTAAAAGGCAGATCAGGGATGATAGATGGGGTTACAATCCCCTGATATCTCAGGCTTGCAGCTTTGATATTCTCTTGGACTTGGGTATTCAGCGTTGATGTCCAGGTTTCAGCAGTGGCCAGGAGTGCATTTGCACAGTTAAAACTAGTGTGCCAGCTGCACCTATTTCTTACGTCAGATCTGGCTATGGTGACACATGCCTTAATCCCATCCCATTTGGGCTACTGTAACACACTCTGAATGGATCTGCCTTTGGAAACCATTCAGAAACATCAGCAGGTCCAAAATGCGGTGGCTAGAATGCTGATCGGGGCTAGTTATAGAGAGCATATAACTCACTTGTAAAGCAGCTTCACTAGCTACTGGTTCATTTCTTGGCACAATTTGAAAGTGCTAGTCATCACCTATAAAACCCTATTCAGTTTTGGTCCAGACTATCTGAAAGACCATATCTCCCTGTACAAGCCTGCCAGAGTTTTCAGATCCACAAGGGCAGGCTTTATCTCAGTCCCATC